AAGAAGAAGAAGAAGAAGAAGAAGAAGAAGAAGAAGAAGAAGAAGAAGAAGAAGAAGAAGAAGAAGAAGAAGAAGAAGGAGAAGAGGAGGAGGAGGAGAAGAAGAAGAGGAGGAGGAGGAAGAAGAAGAGGAACCCTTCTGAAAGGACAGTGACAGCCTTAAACATGTCAGTCTCCAAACACCACGGGTGAACATCAGCAGAGACCCCATGGTACAGACTCAGGACATGGCTCTGACAACAGCTATCCCACAAGCCCTGGGCCATGCTCCCACCATTAGCTCTGGCTGGGACACACACACAGGCCACAGGCTAGGAGAGACAAAAGACAACTGCAGCACCAAACCATAAACAACGTGAGTGTACTTACATGGCTGTCATAGATGGTTAGCGCAGCCTCATAGTCTCCCTGCAGAGGTGAAATTGCTGTGGTTAACATCTGGAGAAGTCAAAACTCGATGCTTGGAAATACCCAGTGTGGAGAAAGGAGAAGGTGAACACCATCCTTGTGTCATGAGGGCCTCACCATGCATACATGCTTCTCTCTGGGCATCTTAGGAGCCTCCAAGTCTTTCTCTACAGTAACAGCGCTGCAAGAAGCACCCTGACAAACGAGCCACTGCCCATCTCCATCATCTGTCCCCGCCCGCTCTCCTAGAATTGTTTCTGGTGCTGTAGGTCCAATCTGAGACCCTCCCTGTATCCCAAGCAGTAAAGAGGCACTGGGTTTCAAACCACCTGTGGAGGTGTGAAGGGTCCCCATAGGCTCAGATGTTTGAATACTTGGTCCCTAGTTGGTGGCACTGTTTGTGTGGGCTTAGGAGGTGTAGCCTTGCTGGAAGGAGTGTATCACTACAGGTGGGCTTTGAGAGCTTAAGGCTTCACCCTCTTCTCAGTCCATGCTTCTTTGTACCTGAATGGTGTGAGCTCTCAGCACCCAGGTCGTGCATCCATGTTTGCAGCTTGCTGCCAGCTTCCTCACCATGATGGAGGCTCTAATGCCTCTGGAACCTTCAGACAAATAAACCCTTCCCTCTACTACAAGTTGTCTAGGTCACAGTGTTGTATCAGAGCAACAGGAAAGTAACTAGTAAGTCACAGGAGTCCCAGTTCCCAAGAGTGGAAAATGTCTTGAGGAGCTCAGCATACAAACCTCTTGGAATGTGAATGCAGTATTGTTTCAGTTATCACCTGTGCTGGACAGTTTTATGTCAACTTGACACAAGCTAGAGTCATCTGAGAAACCTCAATTAAGAAAACATCTCCATAAGACTAGGCTCTAAGCAAGTCTGTAGGGTGTTTTCTTAATTGATGGGGGATGGACATTGTGTACAGTGCTATCCCTGGGCTTGCGGTCCTGGGTTCTATAAGAAAGCAGGCTGAGCAAGCCATGGTGAAAGCCAGTAAGCAGCACCTCTAATGGCCTCTGCATCAGCTTCTGTCTCCAGGTTCCTTCCTGCCCTGTTTGAGTTCCTTCCCTGGCTTCCTTCAGTGAAGGACAAATGAAGCCAAATAAATTCGATCCTCCCCAACTTGCTTTTGGTCATGGCGTCTCATCACAGCAATAGAAACCCTAAGACACCATCTTTTGTACCAAGACACAAAGGGGCTGCATGGAAGTCAGACACACGGCAGGGGCTAAGGATTTGCTCTGAACATCTGCACTGAGTGAGACAACCACAGAGACAAGCATCCTACCTTCTCAATCAAGTACAGGGCCCAGTGCCAATAATTATGGCAAGCGAGCATATCCGAGTCCTGTGGAATGAAGGAGAGAAAGTCAGAGCATCTGTGGGCTGGACCTAAGAGTTCAGTTGGTATCACATATGAACCCCTGGGTTCAATCCCCAACATTGAATCAACTGGGTATGGTGGACCACACCTGTGATCCCAGAACACACTGTGATCCAGGGAGTAGAAACAGAGGATCAGAAGTTCGACTTTGGGTTCAGGAGATGCTCACTAGGTACAATGTTTGTTGTGTAAGCATTGAAGAGCTGAGTTTGAATCCCCGCACCTACTTAAAAGCTGGACATGATGGTGTATGCCTGTGATAACAGGGGAAGCCTGGAGGTTTTCTAGCCAAGACAGTCTTGCCTAATCAGTAAGCTCCAGGAAAAAGTGGCCTCTATGTCTTTAGGTTCCTGAAATTTTCCAGACCCAGGAGTCTGGGCAACTTTAGAATGGGATATGCTCATAAACCTCCCTGTAAACCAGCTACACCTAGAACCATGCCGGGAGATGCTGGGAATTGACCTGGCTGTCAATCACAGTTTTAGCCCATGGTAATGCTCAAGAGGGATGCTGGTGGCCACGGCATCCTGCCGGTCTCTGAAGCATTGAACATCTAGTACTCAGTGTCAGGTTGTGGAGGGACTTGTTTCCCCAGCTGGTGGTGTCCTTGGAGCCTGCTGTGGCACAGAAGGACAGGGCAGCAAGGGCACCTGGAGAGGTGGCCAGGTCAGGACCAGACGCAAGTTAGAGAAAACAGGCACACACAGAGGAAGAAGGACCACCAGAGCTAGTGGGGAAGGGGGAAATAGCCCCAGAGGGGTACCAGCCTGACAGAAGCAGGCATGAGTAAAGTTGAGAATAGGGAATATGGACAATGAGGTCAGGGAAGGCACTAGGGCTCTGAATCCCCCTAACTCCCATATGCTGGCTCTACATCATTGGACCATCACCCCTTTGGTCTACCTCTCTCCCACTTACAGCATTATGTGGTCCAGAAGGACACTCCATCATCCCCATGGGGGAGCCTGCTGACAGCAGCAGAGGTACATGCAACTCAGGGCCCTAAACATGCCCACCCTTGCTGGGCTCTTATTTCTCCAGGACTCTTTGTGTCCATTCAGTTCATAGCAAAACACCTCAGGGAGACCCCAATTGCACAATCACTTATAAAATGCTGACAGATGTTGAGATGTTGTGGAGCTCCCAGAGGATGCTTGGCAGTCAGGGATGCCTCCAAGCTGAACCTAAGCTCCTGGGGAACTAAACCACATCTGTAAGTCCTACCCAGCAAGCCTTGGTGGGATTCTGGGTATCAGACTGGATCATCCAAGTCTCAACTCCTACCTTCCAGTGGCCTTCGGTGTTCTTCATGAACTCCATGCCGTCCTTGATCTCAGCTCTCATCTCATGTACGTGGGCAACAGTGTGCACTGACCATGCATCTGTTGGCTCAACAGACAAAGCCTGCATGAGGCAGGAGATGGGAGGTCAAAGAAAATGGGTGTTAGACCGGCTACCTGGGCTCAAAAAGAACAAGGGTGAGACTGAGCTCTAATTCAGAATAATGACAATCCTGACACCAGCACCATGTCCTACATGCCTGGGAGGTAACGGTGTGTGCCTTACCCACCACAGCAGCTGCTGAGGTGGGCATCACTGACAGCCTCACAGATGAGGAAGCTGGGGCTCGAGGAGGCCAGCACTTGCTTCCTGGGTACACCCGCATCATCTGCAAGATGCTTCCCAAGATATTGTGCCTCAGTTTCCCATGATGGCTTCTAGGGCTGCCTTCCTCTCAGGGCTATCAGAATAGCGTAGACAGTCACATCCTTCTCAGGTGAAGGACAAGCGGCTGCCTCGTCCACTAACACTCAGGAGATGGTTACACAGGAGGATTCCCACATTAGAAGGAACTGGGTTTAGCAGCACTGTTGTTAACAACCAAATCTACATGACCCCAGAGTCCACAGAGAGGCCTATGGACACATGAACTGGCGCTTACCTCCTTGTCCATCTATTCACCAGGTCAGTTCATGTTTATTGAGCGCCTTCTAAATGCTGCACATGAAGCAGTGAACTGGGGCTCACTGCAACCCCATCACTGCCTTGTCCTCAGGGCCCCACATCAAATCATGGGTCCCTTAGGCCCGCCTTCCCTGATATCTAGAATTACAAGTGCCTCTGTGATGACCTGGCATCTGATGCAAGGGTTTTGGCAATGTGTCCCCCTCAGTCTCTGGCCCCTGGCCCTGCCCCTCAGATTTCACAGTCTTGTCCACTCCCTGTGGGAAGACAGGACTCACACTGCATGTCTGTGAGGTCTTGGTGCAGGAGGCCTGAGAACCAGGGGAGCTGGGGACATGACAGGGTGCATCCTGAGCATGCTGGTCACTGGCACCCCTTTAAAGAACCTCTCCAGCATTCTGCTTTTACACAGGACAGTTGAGAAAGTCCTGTTCTTTGTGACCAGCACCCTCACTCAACCGGAGCCCTAACAAGGTTCTCTGGGAGACTCCAACTCTCTGGCTGCCCCTCACTCTTACCCTGTGGAAACCTGGAGGACACTGTTACATCCTTGTCTTCATATCTATCAGCTGTCTGCGGGGTCTGGAGCTAAGGTCAGTGTGGCCTATAGCACCAGGAGAGCTGGAGCAAGGGCAGGAAAGAGCAATGGGTGGGGACACTCTTCCGCCAAATCTTGTCTCTTCTCAGACGTGAGTCTGAATCCTTGGCCATCTCTCTTTGGAATCAGCTTGTCAGAATGCCACTTAGAATTCCTTCAACTGCCCTGCTCTCCTCCAGATGCCTAGGTGGTTCTCCCAACCAGATGAGCCTTCCTGTGGCTTAACCACAGATGCAGGACCTGGCTACCCTGATCTTAGAGCTTAGATGGCCAAGGAGCTAGCTAGCTGGAGCCCTCAGGGCTGACTCAGAGCTAAAGAAAATAAAACCAAAACCAAATAAACAAAAAGTCTTCACCTGATTCCTGAATCTGAATTGAGTTGATTCAGGCAAGGGCCAGACACCCTGAGATTGCTGTCCTGAGGAAGAGGCACTTCAGGCCAACTGAGGCAATGCCTGGGTCAGGAGCCACAGCAGGGAAGCTAAGATCTAGTCCAGGTTGCTTAAAAGACAGCCATCTCAACAGATGGCCTAGGTGACACTCTGACCCCTAAGCTTTATCACCATGGGAGGGCTCTGTATAGCCTCTCTCTGAGCTGCAGCTCTCCTTTGTGGCCACCAAGGTGTTTAACAGTTAGGCAGACACCATGGGCAGGAGCAGGCATGCACAAGGACAGGTATGACCCGGAACCAAGAGCACACATCACTGTCTATGAATGGCAATGCCTCCTTGCACAGTAGTTTCTACTCCTGCAAGAACACAAGGGGCAGAGAAGGACTTCCAGAGCCTGAGCTACCCTGCACCCACGCCTGTCACTTGTCCCAGATTTCAGGCACACAGGGGAGTCCCCAGAGCTGCAGATCAGCCAGCACATGCCAGCAGAATACAGAAAACAGTGCCTGAGGCTGGAGGATCTAGCAGGCTCCACAATGGCTCCACCCCTCCGGCTGGCAAGAATCCTGAGTGATGAGTGATGGTTTTTTATATCCTGAGTGCAGGACAAAGTCACTCCGCCTCCCCACTCAGCGAGGAAGAACATAACAAGATCTGGCCATGACCTGTGAAATCTCCACCCACCTCAAGCCTCATGGGTCATGGTTAGACCCAGTGGAACGGTGAAATTCAAGCAGGGAGAACCAAGGTTTGCATGCTCTTCCCGTACTGCTTTAGTCCCAATTGGCCTGTGGCTCTAGAGCCGACTGGAACTCACAGGAGCAGAGAGCCTAGACTCGGGTAACCCCTGAGGGACAGAGCCACCACCTCCCTGAGTGTCACTGCCTCATCTGCTCCAGCGACCTCCGGAGGCTCTAGAGCCGTCATGAACAGGGAGCTGTTTCCCCTAACAACAGCCCCTCCCAAGAGGACACTCCAAGGTGGGGAGGAGGGCTGCTTGGTCCTCATATGAGGGCTCATACCCTAAAGGGCCTCACACCTTGAGAAGGGCCACTCACCTCTTTGGCAAGCTTTAGTGCCTGGTCATAGAAGTTGGTTTCCATCAGTCCGAAAGAATAGATGCCTTTCACGTAGCTGTAAACAGAGAAAAGAGTTCAGTTCCCAGGAGGCTGAACAGGAACAGGTGGGATGGAGTCCCCCAGCAGCAGCGGCTGGAGTCCACACACCCAGGGCTTGCATGTGACTGTGTTTGGACACAGGGGCTTTCCAGAAGGAACTGAGGTGAGATGCGGTGGGTGGCAATCTGATCGCTATTGTTCACTTCGTAACACAGCCGTGTGGAGCTGGTGGTGTCACCGAAGAAAGGACTTGTGACACTCCGATTCTGCTCAGGACCTCAGCAAGGGGCAGCACTAAAAGACTGACTCATGCCGTCAACCCAGAGAGGAGCTGAGCTCAGCAGTCCTCCTTTAGAACTTCCTTTAGTTCAAGACAAAGTGAAATTCAACCTGATGGTGATTTCCCAGAATCCTGTGCGGTCCATATGGCTCACCCACTCCTCAGACATCAATGCAGAGTCTCTCCACAGAGGATGACAGGGTCTATGGTCACCTCCCTGAGGAGCCTGGCACTATGGTAACTCCATTCAGGCTTCTGTTGCACTAAATGGGGCTCTATCCTGTGTGAGCAAAGACAGAAGCTACTGTCTAAGTCACAGGTGTCACTTTTACTGTCCAGCACAGGTGCAAATGGCAGCTTTTTACTGGAGAGCAGAGGCTAGCAGATGACTTTAAAAAAATATTTACTGCTCAGGAATCAGAGGCAAGCTGATCTCTGTGAATTGGAGGCCAGCCTGGTCTACAGAGCTAGTTCCAGGCCAGCCAGGGCTACACAGAGAAACCTTGTCTCGAAAAACGAACAAACAAAAATTTTCACCAAGGGATTACTGTAGGTCAGATGCTGTGGGATATTCTCTATGCTGTGAATGTGTTGCTCTGATTGGTTAATAAATAAAGTGCTGATTGGCCAGTAGCCAGGCAGGAAGTATAGGCAAGATAAAGAGAGGAGAATTCTGGGAACAGGAAGGCTGGGTGAGGAGACGCTGCCATCCACCACAATGAGAAGCAGATGTTAAGATAATGATAAGCCACAAGCTATGTGGCAACTTATGGATTAATAGAAATGGTTAATTTAAGATATAAGACCTAGATAGCAAGAAGCCTGAGCCACATGGCCATACAGTTTATAAATAATATAACCATCTGTGTGTTTATCTGGGTCCAAGCAGCTGGGGGATTCGCGGATGAGAAAGATTTGTCCTGACTGTGGGCCAAGTAGGACCAGGAGATAACCCCAGCTACAGTGAGGTACTACTAGCTCACAAGTGTTATATCTTCAATTTGGCCGAACCATGGTACCTGGACCTGTGGTCAGGCACCATTCTAAGG